TATTTTGTCGTTGATTTGGTAAATAGCTATACAAATAGGAAAAATAAAAAAATAAAAATTTGTAAATGACCTACGGCAACGTTCAAAGAACGTTGCAGTAAACCTTTACGGCAACGTTCAATAAACGTTGTCGTATCTCTTATTCGCAACGTTCAATGAACGTTGTCGTATCTTAACCCTCAACAGCAACGTCAAGGTTTGCAACAGATGCCTGAACGTTGCCATAGGTCTTTAGCAACGTTTTTTGCGTAGGCCTTTAGCAACGTTTTTTGCCCGTTGCGAAAACCTATTTTTGGTGTAGTGATAAGTTTCATCTAAAAGTTCTAATTCGATAATGCATTTTTAAAAAAATAACCAAACATATCTAAAAGCAACTTCGTGGTCTTAGATGGGATTTTTGATTATTCAACAATCATGTTGAATGGACCCCGAGACTTCTCAATAGCTAACATTCATTACATTAAAAGCATACTATAGTTAATTACCTCAAACTCATGGACGATCTATTTATATAGTTAATGTACAATTTTAACGTAACGTAAATTCATATGGTCATGCTTGGGATAAGAACATATAAAGTAATCCTATTTTAATTAAAAGTAAAATACATACTCATATTTGTCCCGTGTATCCTTGATTGTCATGAAAATATCTCAATATTAACAATTCTTCGAACTTTTCTCCGATTTGTTCTTATACCGTTTTCGCAGTGATGTGATTTGTTTCTCTTTCCTTGATTTTCTCCTAGGTAATAAAAACAATATTGTCTTCAACTCCTTATTCTTTTTATATGGACTATCTTACCCTTTTATCATTAGCACTAGATTGAGAAATGGAATAACTTTAGGTTTAATAAAAATATTGTGCAGGTCCTTTTTCCCCACGGTTTCGGGTTGCACTTTACAAATGAATTGACGAGTTCTTGTTGAAACTATGAATTTGGATGGAAAACTGATATTTTCCATAGAAAATAAATGTAATCAAACACACCCTTAAACAATTTGCTCAAAATAGTTCAGCAAAGGTGGCTACTTGAACCGGTTCTATAATTTAAATCTATTCAAAATTAAAATTAAATTCTTTTTCTAATTATAATGGGATATTGATACATTAGATATGTCAATCGAACTCAACTCATTTAACTGAATTCTCTCAATTATGCACCCAATTACCTTTCATGCCCTCGCTCAAAAGTAGAGAGCGAGTCGCATGCAGATCTTTCCTAACCTAGCAGCATATTACATATAAGCAACAGAATATGTTCTCAAAGCTAATATTTTGCCACGTGGCTATCATCCAGGGTCTTAATGCACGTGATAAATATGGAATGTGTGTTTTTTTCCATATATAACTCTCCTTATCATGCAGTGTAATAGAGAAAAAAAAAAAAAATACCAAACAAATAGCTGCTTTAGCACTAAATTGAGTGAAATTATAGGGTCTGTTCTTGTGAATCAGTTGGAGTGGTCGAATCTTTTTGTTGAGATAATACTTCAGGTACGAATCATTTCTATTTTTATTGAAATTTTCGTAATAATAATAATAATGGCCATAGTGTAGGATTTTGAAATGCAATAAAGCCACTGAATTTACAGTTTCTTGATTAAAAATCCACCCCACCCATAATTATGGAGCCCGTTTGTGAGTTTTGCGAGATGGCGACGGCGGTGGTATACTGTAAAACGGATTTGGCGCGGCTTTGTTTGCAGTGTGACGGTCATGTGCACTCCGAAAACTCCTTTTCCCAGCGGCATCCGCGTTCTCTCATTTGCGACAAGTGCCATTCACAGGCGGCTGTAGTTCGGTGCATGGATTGTGAGTTGTCGCTTTGTTCGGGTTGTGATTGGAATGGTAATGGTTGTTTGGGAGTAGCGGGGCACCGGCGGCTTAAATTGAATTTCTACTGTGGATGTCCTTCGCCGGCGGAGTTCTGCAAAATTTGGTCTTTGGTTCTTGATGAGCCTAAATCCAGTTGTTTTGATGCCTCTTGGAGCCCAATTCCTACTACGAATGGGAATTCCATGACTAACTCATTGGAGGCACGGAATGATCCGGGGTCTGGTGGGATGGTGGCAAACAGGCTAAATGAATTAGCATCCTACGTCAAATTCGGACAATGGGCTACTCCATCACAAGTCGTTCAATCAAATATTCCCAGTTATGTATCATCATCATGCAATACGGGTCAAAAACCTCAATTCTGCAACGATCAAATGCCTTTCTTCTCAGAAGGATCGAGCTTTCAAAAGGTAATCTACCTCTATTATAATCTATCAATCTTTATGCACCATCATTTGGTACTTAACTGAGATGTGATTCTATTACTATCAATTCTTCGATAGGCAATACTATTAATCTCAAATGAATGATTACTTGCTTAGTCTTTTTTTGCTTCTTTGTGATCTCAAAATGAACCAGGGATTTCCTAATAGAATTAAGGATCTTGGGCTTCATGACAGTGTCGACATGGACGATATGGCCTTGAGCTTTGACAGTGGTTATGAGATGTTTGAGAATTTGCAAAATCAGCCAAGTTACCACTACGACGATGGAGGAATGAGTAGCCTTGTCACCGAGAAAAACTTTTCCGTCACTGAATCTAATAGCACTTATATTGAAAGTGCTTTAGAGGTTGTCTTCCACCCCCATATCTCTTCATCCAAATTTAAATTTTGTCCTTACAAATAATATTACTCTCTTTCAATTACAATTTACAACTATTGATTCAAAGTCCTTACACATCTAAACATTTGGTGACATCAATGTAACTAACATGTATCGAATACATCAGGAAGATTCGCGTCAACGTATTTAAATTTTTTTCCTTTTGTTCATTTATCCATTAATGTTTACATGCACTTATAATTCTATATATATAAAATATCTGTAATTTCTTGACAGACATTTTCACTAACAAAAAAGTGAAATATTTGTTCGTCTACTTCCGTGAGCAATAATTTTTTTCCCCCTTTTTCTATGTTATTAGGCATCATCATCATCAGGACATCAAGAGTGCATGGGTTTTCAATCTTCACAAGTTGGCTTCGGTTTGACAAATTTGGTGCAGCCTATAAATAATGTCACTGCTAAATCCATGCTTATGCACCAAAGTTGCAACAGCAATAATATTGGCTTAGGATTTCCCAGTGGCCGACTTCCTTCAACCATGTCTCCTGCAGGTAATGTGGCTGATTTTCAAGATTGTGAATTATCGCCCGTATTTCTAGCTGGTGATGCACCATGGGAATCCAACTTCGAAGGTAGTTGTCAACAAGCTAGAGATAAAGCTAAGATGAGATACAATGAAAAGAAGAAAACAAGAATGCAAGTATTTCTTCTCTTCCTTTCTATAAATGATGTCTTTTCTTAAAAAAAAAAAAAACAAGAGTATATGTGGTTGCTGATGATGAAAAATTTATTGCTTGCTGATTGTAGGTTTGGTAAACAAATAAGATACGCTTCTCGTAAAGCTAGAGCTGATACTAGAAAACGCGTGAAAGGTAGATTCGTGAAGGCTGGCGAAGCTTATGACTATGACCCTCTTATAATAAGGGAATTCTGATCTAGAGTTCATTCAATTTTCCCATGGCTTTGGTAATTTATGTCTCGAGTATGCTGAAAGGAATATAATTTGTATGGTTTTTCTACCTTCAGATTATAAAAGCGAATGACCTTGTTTATAAGGTTACGAATCTTATATCACCTCCTGATTGAAAAGCCATATACACCCAACGAAGTTCATATATCAATAAAATTTTATCAAGCACTATATTTTAAACTTCGATGTTAATTGAAGAAAGATGTTAAGTTTCTTTCTTATATGTGTATAACTTTCCCAGCCTTCTTTTCTATGTATTGTTGTTTACACTATTGTGCCATAACCATTGCTCATAATTTATTAAATAACATTAGCACTGTTCATAGAAAGTTATATTTGGTATCCAGTTTCGAGCATCACTTCGTTCTTCAGAAGTGTCTAATACTATTCATTGCTCCCTTTCTGTTCTCGAATCTTGAAGGAAGTAATGTCAGGAGACACACCACCAGAAGGATTTCATGATGGAAAATATTGTTCACAATCAATAAACGGTGTATAGGATGAAAACGGAATTGAAATTGAAATGAAAACGGACCAAAATGAAAATGGAATTGAAAACTAGAAAGGGCCAAAATTTGGAAATATCCATGCGGTCGCACGGTGATGTACCGAGGCCACATGGCCTCGGACTGGATAAACCATGCGGCCGCATGGTTGTAAATTAGGGACCGTTGGACAATTTTTTGGTTTGAATTTTGGCGGCTTTTCATCTTGTTTTGGCACCTTTTCGTGTGGCAATGTTTCATGTCTATAAATAAGTGATTAATGGACATTGAAAAACAATCACAAGTATG